CTTTCCAACAGAGCGCACTCTGGGTACAGTATCGCCCTTGGAAGCAGCCTCACCTTTATTGGATTCATCAGGGTTCGGTTCGGAGGGTGCCGCGCGCTTCGGCGTAATCTTCTTCAGCTTCCTCGAGAGGTGCTGTCATTGACCAACCTTGCAACCCCACAATTACCAGGTCGAGAGGCCGGTTCTTCACCTCCGACGAGATGGCGAGGGACATCCTGGACAGGTTCGAGGAGGGAGATTAGGGGGTCACCAGAAAGTAATAAGTCTACACTTAATCTATAGATCAATCAAAAGCCAGTTGTGGATCCATGTCAGTATTGCCCTTCTGAATCGCGGTCATAGAGCCGACTTCTATGAAGAAAGCTTTGAGTTTCGGGATATGTTCGGAGGGTTGTTGATCGTTGCTGAGGCTTTGGGATGGATTCGGATCAAAGGCTTTGCGCTGGGGGTAAGGTAGAGTTTGGCTTCCGGCTGCCGGGCACACTTAGGATTTTGAGGTTTGGGGACTCAGGGTTCAGGGTTGCTTAGGCTTTAACTTTAAATGGGTTTTAGGAAATAAGGAACGAGCTTGCATCAAAGGTTCTGCCGCTTGACATTCTCGAAAATTTTCTCGATCTTCTCGTTTTGCCTGAGTCGAAGGATATGCCCCAGACTCCAGACCCCGTCTATTATAAGCCAAAGCACGCATCACTCACGGATCCGATCTTGGATTCAGCCTGCATGGCTGCCAACTCATCATAGTGTTTGCCCAGGGACTCGATGATGCCATTCAATTTCGGAAGTTCCCTTAGATGGTCGAGAAAGGATTTGTTCACAAGGTTAGAAACCAGGCAGCCCATAGCATTGAAGCTGAGGCACTTTTTAACCGCATCATCTGTGGGATCGAGCTTGCCAATGAACTTGACTAGCTTGTCCCGGGCTGCCACGGATTCTTTCATGTACTGGGGGATTAGCTCCATTGCCTCGGATGCATTATCATTTCTTGATCACATGTATAGCGCTTGCACTAGAGATGTTCGTGTCTAATGCAGTGCCACGACCGGCTTGGCAGCTTCGACTTCGCATTTTCCCGGGTCCTGCCGTTCCCGGGTGCTGTCGAGGTCGCCCTTCATGCCGGCGATGGCGAGGCTGTCCGTACTTCCAGCAGCAGATGTTTTCTCCCGCAAGCCCTCTCGTTCCGATATCCCTTGCCGTCCAGATGTGCGCTTGTCACACCAAAACTCCTCCAGGTCATCGTCGTACTTGTTCGTCCTGTGAGAACCGACAATGATTAAGTGGGAGTGGGGGAAAGAGCAGGTATGTCAGGGATGAAGGGTTGGAGCACTTTGTCCTGACGTTGAACTTGGGCTGGTTGGCCCTGCACCATGCAATGACCTTGTCCGCAAACTTCCTCAGTTCCCGAGAACAGATTTTATGAACAGCAGGACAGAAATGGTCCATGTGGAAAGTAGACATAATAAGCAATAACTGCAATCTAAATTCGCACTCCAGCCCAATCCTCCGTCTGCAACCTTCTTCACCATGTCCTCCCTGCTGTAGAACCCTCCATCTGTGCCCTCGTCTCTATAGCGTAGGGTTTCCTTGAAGATTTCCACCTTCCGCATAAACTCTTCCTGTCAAAGCTTCAGTTTCCAATCATTTTAAGAACTGCTGCTCACGATGTGCTGTCCTTGTTCCCATCCGAGTCGGCCATGAGCTGAATGAGGTTGTCGCGTGTTTGTCCAGCCTTGAGCCATAATTCATGTACGTCTGCTGTGACCTGTATCTTTCCTGTGCTGGTCCGTTCACATAGTCGACGGACTTTAGCTTCCATCTTCCTCCACTCTTTCACCTCCTCCGCTTTCGTGCGCTGCTCAGAACCTGCCTTGCTGTCCATATCCAAAGCTTGGTGACCAACATCCTAGCAAGGAATCATAATTATAGGAAAGTCATGCAGGACCGGCTTTTGCAAACTGGGAATATCTATAGAGAATGCTCATGTGCCAATTCCCGGGTCCTGCATCTGGGATGATGGATGTGGCGAAGATTGCTGCGACTCTTGGTGGGCCACAGGCTCAGCTGCAGAATCCGACTGGTGGGTCCCATCTTGCTGGAATTGCTGGGTTCTTGTCTTCTGATGAGTCCCATCTTGCTCGGGTTGCTCGGTTCTTGTGATCTGATGAGTCCCTTCTTGCTGGGATGGCTGGGTTCTTGTGATCTGCTGAGTCCCCTCTTGGTGGGATTGCGCGGTGCTTGGAGTCTGCTGCAGATTTTGAATCATGTCTTGCTGGGCCTTGATCAGTTGCAAGAGCATGAAGGTGTCATCCATAGCCTGAGCTGAAGAACAGTTTCAGGGTTTTAGATAAGGATCGAAATATATATTGCACAATTCCCTATTATCTTCGGTTTGTAGCTTTACATCAGGTTGGACTTCTATTGACTTAGAAGTACATCTGAGCTTTGCTTCGAGGTTGGAACACATCAGAAGAGGACGCTTCATTGTCGGGACCTGAGAAGATTTTAGATTTACTTAATTCTATCCAGCCACGGGCTTGGCCATCGTTGGGCTTTGGTTCTGGATCATCTTTGCCGGAGGGGTGTGCAAAGGGCTCGGTGTTGGGCTCGGCTTCAAAGGTGTCTGCACGCACTGCATGGGCTGGCTTGGCTCGGCGGACTTTGGCGGAGGCGTAGCAGCACGGAGCCGCTCCTTAGGGACATGGTATTATTCAGTATTGCAGGAACATGTGGACTTGTACTCAGACACAGGCAAGCTGACAAAACACAACAACAATAACCGAGCCTTCAGGTCCTCATCATCTTCTTCATCGGATATACTCATGTAGGCATCAGCAACGCATGGGCCCCCGTCTTTGTCCTGCTCGTGTCATTACTTGCTTGTTACTGTTTCAAGCATTACACGAATGCTTTTGGCACGGGATGACACCTTCCGGGGGCTCTTTGCAGACGAAGGGAGCCCAGCACTCTGAAGCTGCGACTCTGTTGCAGCCACAGTTGGTGTCGGAGATCCAGGAGCGTTCTGCTTTTCCAACTGCAAGCGCAACTCCTGGCACAGTGCTAGATTTGGATATGCTTACCAGACGAGTCAAGAACTCATTCCAGCCCGGATTTCCTGAACCATCTCTTGCAGCTGCTGAGGGTCATCCGGCAGTTCCTGTTTGACGTGCTGGAGCCCGGCCAGCATCGAACTGGCGCTGAAGGCGCGACTCACAAGCTTTGTTGGTTTTGCCATAGCACTACCCGGAAGAGAGCACAACAGCAGAGCTCAAAACCTAGGCCCAGACCTGTAAAGGTACGAGTCTGATTGGGTCGAATCCTATCAGTGCAGCCATAGAAATTATGGTCGTTAGGCACCCATACCAGTACGCATATTTTTGGTTATTTTACGCGGATTTATGGTTTTGGTACGCTTATTTACGGTCGCAGGTTTTGTGGGGTTTTAAGGATTTACGGGCGTGGGCTGGATTTACGGGCGTTGCTCTCTACAATTACGGGCGTGGCTTTGGGTTTATGGCCGCACACCCTTGCAACTACGGTCGTCGAGCCTGAATTTACGGCCGCACAGCTGCAAATTACGGCCGCCGAGCCCCGTGACCCAAGAAAAGTGTCCCAAAACAGCTAAAAACACATTGCAAAACCCAGCCAACTGATCGATACAAACCCCAAACCCAAATATTCCTAGCTTGCTCTCAGAGAAAAGCATCACAAATCCCACAGAAATAGATAGTTCGTCTAGAGAAACCGCAAACTTCAGTAATCCTAGTGTGGTTTCGGAGGAAAGCACCAAATCAACCCCACATAGATAGGTAATCTATACAAACCCCAAACCTAAATAATCCTAGCCCCAAACCAAAATAATCCTAGCTTGGTTTAGGTTCACAGCTTCCCCAAATAACCAGAATAAAATAAGTAATCTATAGAGCCGCAAAATGTAGATAATGAATCCTATTTTGGTCTCGGAGAAAAGCTTCCCAAAAGAACCAGAAGTGAATAGTTAGTTAATAGCAACCTCAAACCTAAATAATCATAGCTTGCTTTCGGAGATCAAGATCAGAACCTAGCAATGAACAAAATTCTCTGGGTGTGCCAGCAGCTTGCCTAGCCTGAACTTCGCCTTGGGGTTTTCGGGAAACAGAGACACTGCTAGATATCAGGCAAAGCAAGTGAAGTGGCCTTCTCGTATCATACTCGGATCCGAATATAGATATCTTGCCGTTTCTCTCCCTCGCCTCCTCCTATAGAAGTATTGAGAATGCCTAGCGGTTGGTTTCCTTTATAAAGTGGAATAGAAAGGTGCTAGCTTCTCTGAAGCGCTCGCTCTCTCTCTCTCTCTCTCTCTTATTCTCTTTCTGTCTCGGGGTCTTGTCCTTATATGACGGATCAGGAACGTGCCCACCTGCGATCTTCGATTCTGAGACATCCAGCGAAGTACAGAGGACATATGGTGTGTCGATCACAGGTGACTTGAGCTGCGTGGATTATATATCATCACAGTTCATGCATGTGAGTTGAACGTTTCTTCAGACAGAGAGCGGACAGAGAGAGAGAGAGAGAGGGAGAGGGAAAGGGAGAAAGAGAAAGGAGGGAGAGAGAGAGACGGAGAGAGAGAGAGAGACAGAGAGTATCGTCGATCCCAAGAGAAACCGTAAGGTCCTTAGGTGGCCCCACAATCCCCACCTGGATGCGAGAGAGCCAGAGTCAGAGAGACTGAGGAGAGAAGGAAATCATATATATTTTTTCACCCAGCAGCGCACCCTTCACAGGACATCCGGCAACAACTTGCGCCATTCTGGCGGGATCTGGAGGCCCTTGCACCCCCTCAAGTAGAACACCAGGTCTCTCATGTTTGCGTCATGGCACATATCATCGTAGGAAGCAGCACCAAACATGTCCATCGCACTGGAGCCTACGACTGCGCTGTCAAGCTGCGCTTTGATGGCTCCAGGCTGCTCTTTCAAGTCGTCGAAGAGATGCATCATCTTTTTCGCGAACGTGGTGGTGTATTGCCTCGGATACAAGGGAGGGCTTGGGCCGGCTTGGGGATTGGATATGAAGCTCTAGGGCTTTGGTGTAAAAAGCGCAGTACTATGGAGCATCCCTATTGTAACCTCTCTTCAGCACATGTATACTTTCTATGTAGAAATTCTCGGTCCCTTAAATATTTGCAGATCACGTCACCCCGTCTGGGTAAGGTGCTTGGTGCCCACAAACTTTTGTTTGCCATCCTTGCCCTTGTATCGCCGCACAGGCTGAAGAGTTGAAGCCCCAGACTTCTTGAAATCCTTCATATGGAATTTCCCGTTGTAAAAGCCACTCAGAGTAGACGTGGACGACCATAGTGTTGTTGGTTTCGGAGTTGCCGAACCATAGGAGCCCATCCAGATTACGAGTCGGTAGATCTCAGCAGGACAATTCAAGAAAGGCTTTCATATGTTGATTCCTAAACAACACGAAACTAGCCCTTGTTCCGTTTACTTAGAAGCCCTCGGCACCCTCAAGCGACGAGCTAGCCACTGCATGCGATCGTGTTGGAAGAGCAAGCTGGACTTGGGCTGTTCCACAATGAAATTGCCGCCCACAGCAACTACGAGAAGTAGCATGAACGCCACCCTTAGCAGCAAACTTTCTCGAAACGCACTCGCACAAAACTCAGGCTTTACATGCAATCAGAAGCCTATCTCAGCCCAAAGGCCGTGATGCCATCAAGTTCCCCTCAGCGACCGAGCGGTACTCAGTATATCCATGGGGTAGAACCAAGGACCGTCGCGTGCTCCCTTTTGAGATAGACACCCATGATGAACATAGTACTCCATACCAGTCAACAAAACCGCGAGGATTGCCCATGAGTACTGTTGTAAGGAATGTCCTCAGTTAGAGAGAGAGAGAGAGAGACAAAGAGGTATCCTACATATCAAAGACAGCACCACACAAGAAAGGTGTCAGTTGCACAAAACAACATAACAAGGAACCCATAGCCACTTGGCTGTAGAATATCCAAGCCCCGCCCATAGATCTTGTCCAAAGCTGCTGCTCGAAACCCTGCCCTTCGAGCCTCCTGGGTCAACGCAGCAGAACCAGCGAAGTGCTCGATGAAGTCTATCTCCTGTGCCGAGCACACCCATAGGGTTGGATGTTTAGGTTTTTTTCTCAGTTTGTTAGCTTAGGGTTTAGGTGGGTACGAGGCTTCAGGTTTAGGCTTGATGTCTGGGGACGATTAGATCGTTCTGGGTTGAGGTCTGTGAGCCATCTAGCAGAGATCAGTGTGGCACATGAATGACATTGGGCAATGCAGAAGAGAAGCAAAGCGCTTCCACACCCCAACCACGTATCCTTGCCCAGCCAAAGGTCTTTGTTCCACAGGAGCAGGAGGACGCACAGCACGAACACCTCAGCAGTTTAGGGTTCAGGCTTAGGGTTTCGGGTTTAGGGACGAGGGTGCCTCAGCAACCATAGCACATATCACACAAGCACATATCCCGACTAGACAACTCGATTCGAAATAGAAAGACATCTCCAAATTAGTCCCGCGACCTTTGGGGCACCGAGGCTAAAGAGCTTTGGCACGACAACGTCCGCTGTTGGAGGCATGGGAGCACAGAGTGTTCCTAGAACCTAAAGCTGCTTTGCACCCAACCCCTGTAATTAACCTAACAAAACAACCATGTTCCACGTAGTTGGTAGGCTGAAACCTCGAGGCATTATTTGACTACCTGACTACCTGTCTGCAGATGTCACGGCACAAACTGTAGATCACTGCATTCTCGAGCGCTCAGCAGTGCACAGCAATCAGCTTCTGATCAAAAGCAGCACATCACAACACGGTCCCTCCTGACTGCAACAAACAATTCAATGCCGCAGGTCAATCAAGCGTGCCAGCTTCGACCTGCAGGAGCCTCAATGAGGCCTGCCCTCGCAAGGCCCGCCAGGCCTCGCTTGCCCATAATCCCAGCAGCCGAAGTACCTCAAAGCAGAGATTCCAGTTGGATTTGCGTGTGCACAAGTCGGGAAGCTCCAAGTTCTGCGCTCGACACAATAAATTTCAGAACTCCCGGACCCGGAACCAAACCCCAAACCCATCAAACTAAAGCTTCGGACTTCCAATCGCACACTCGCGGTTTTCTTCCACGGACGGCTCTAGGGCTTCAGGCAGCGTGATCCATACACACTGGAAAGCCGGCCACGTGGCCCAGGAACAAGTGCTACTGTAGCTGAGTGCACCCATGCAGTTCCCCACTGAACTTTGAAAGCCCTAGTACCCCAAGGTAGCATTGTAACAATTAGTGATTATATGTGGTTTTCAGATATAGAAGAGGAAGTATCGTAAGTTGCAGATATCAACACTACTTCCACGTGGTTTTTAACCTCGGGGCCTAGGTTTCCATATGGATGCCATCAATCACACGGCTTGCGCCTGAGCTTTTCAAGCTCACTGCTGCAGAGGCAGACAAAACGGAAGCATTCATCACCATGGTTCTTCGGCCATGTGTGCTGCAGCAGCTGACTTCACCTGTCGCCAGGGAGAGAATGAAAGATGCAGACAGAGAGAAAGAGAGAGAGAGAGAGAGAGAGAGATAGAGATTCATGTGCACGCACTCAACCACACACGACACCACAGAAAGTGTGCACAATCAGAGTCACACGTGATCGGCACTTGAACTTTGAATTTCCAATCAACGAATCAGCTAGGAATCGGCACCTCAGCCAGGGTGGGTCGTAGAACCACATACTCTTGAGCTGCCATGGTCATGGTCTCAAAGAAATCTTTGTCTGCGGGCGACAGCCCGCTCTGAAGCCAGCGGATGCGGGCGTAGAGGTAGTACCCAGCCTGAAGAATCCCCAGAAAAACATGCACTTCCTATGAAATACAGTCAGAGCTTCAAAACGATGGCCCCCCCACCTCGCAACTCGTTCGGGTTCCATTCTCGATGTGGGGAAGGATGTGGAGCCAGAATGTCTTGGCGATGGCCCTCCAAATAACCCAGGACTCACTATGGGCGTGTGCAGGGACAGCGCGCCGCGCAAACGTTAGCGGGTAGTCGAAGTCATCATCGTCATCCGCCGGCACAACGGTTGTCGTGACTTTGCGTGCCCGGCCGACAGCTCTTGCTTTCGCCGCGGCTTTCGCCTTCGGCACCGCGGGTTTTGAAGCCTCGGCTTTCGGTGCCTCTGCTGCAGTCGCAGCAGCAGCTTTGCCAGCCTTAACCTTCTTCTTCCTTTTGGAAGTCGTTGTGGCAGGCTCTGCACTCTGCTCCCAAGCCTCCCATTCGGCCCATTCCTGATCATTCCATTCGCCCTCCCACCACTCATCCTCACCCCACTCATCCTGGCCCCACTCATCCCCGTCCCAATTGCCCCAATCATCTTCCTTCGGAGCCTGCTCATCCTCTACCGGAGGTTTCGGGGGGGAGTTCTTGGGGGTAGCCTTCCGCCCCCGTCCCCGTCCCCCACCTCTCCCTCTGCCTTTGCCGGGCTTGTCATCGCCAGCCACATCTGCTTTCATGGCAAGCTGCTCGTTGCGCGTCAGCAGCTGGACCTCTAGGGATTTGTTGTAACAAGATTGGCCCCATGATTTTATATCTTAATCCAGAAACCGATCACTCTTAGCCACACCGAAACTACCTACGATCCCTATGCTTTGTTTATAGTTTCCAACACAAAAGCAAGTCTGCCTTGTCTGGAGTCAAATCCTCCTTGTAGAGCAGCTGGACTGGTTTGGGTTTGGGAGTTGGCTCTGGGGACTGCGTGTTCTCGGCATTGACTGGCCCTGGGCACTGGGGTGAATCTAGCTCCATGGGAATCGATGAGACTGGCTTTGCAAGCGGGCTCGCATCTGCTTCCACTTGGCTGGGGATCGATGAGACTGGCTCTGCAACACGGGTTGGATCTACCTCCGTGGGGATCGATGAGACTGGCTCTGCAATCTGGGCGGGATCTACCTCCATGGGGATCGAGGAGACTGGCTCTGCAAGCTGGCTTGCCTCTGGCTCCGCCAATTCCAAAACAGCCTCTGATTTCACCCTTTTCTCTGGAGTATCCAAGTCAATGACCTCAGAGAACCTCAAACTCATATCCGGAGTTCCATCCCATGCCTGTGTTTCCAAAGCATCCATCCGCTTGGCCTCGCTCGAAGAAGACCCCGTAGCAATCCTCCCGAGGGAACCTGGGCGAGGCTGGAGTGAATGTTGCAGGCTAGAGCCACATATATATTACATCCATGGAATGTGACTGGAGTGCATAAGTCACTGCAGAGATACTTGCATTGGCATGGCCTTCCAGTGGCTTCGCCCTTTGCCTCGAATGAGAGCTGCATGCGAATCTAAATTTCAAGAAACCCTGCTTTATGTTGCACTGTACGGACATTTAAAGTTCTATTGCTGGAGGGGAACAGCTCCGACAACTTGCTGGCACCAGCAGCAATCAAAAGCCGCAAATTCTTGATCTTGTCCTCGTCGACCCTTCGGGTCGAAGATGGCTCCTCACGGGCCTCAACCGGACTATCAATCTCCCGGAGTAAGGACTCCAAGCATCGGGGCGCCATGTCATCCGAGGAGTAGTGCTCCGGAAATCTTTCTTCCTCAGACAAGGCCCCAGCCCCGGCAGGGGGCTCCACAGCCTCCGGCAAAGCACTGAGCTCCAAAGGCCCACCAGGGGCCTCCGCATCCATGATAGCCGCCGGCTCCGAGGCACCCATTGCCAATGGCGGGGCATCATCGCTATCATCCTCATCCAAGATGTACGGGTCTGTGCCATCATCTCCGGAATCTGCACGCTGGAGGCTTGTGGCATCACCGCCAGCCTCAAACATATACTCTAAATCTGAGTATCACCTATTGTCGAAGTCAATACTTCCAAGTCGACTCGTCTCTACACACCAAACTCAGATAAGAAGCCGTCAAGAAGACAGAGAAGGCCTTCTCGTAGAGCTTCACAAGCTGTGCAGCACGTGAATCCTGCAGCGAGCAAAGCAAACAACCGAACAAGGTATATTATATATGAAATGCCAATTAATTACTCCCTTGAGTGCAGAGCTACAGTCCTTTGGACTCTCGCCTCGACTCCACTTCCTCCGCAACAAAGTCAAGCACCGCTTTATTCCCCAAGAGTCTTGGTGGGCCAAGGCTTCCAGATTGGCCGTGTCCGGAAACCCAGCTTCGCTATAAAACTCAACGACCAGGGGGGTGATATCGTCAACGGAAGGGGAATCCACACGCCCGCACTTCGACATGCATTCCACCAGTGGCAACAAAACCTCGAAATTTTCTGCCACATTCTTTATGTTTCCCAGCACCTGGGAAACATCTTTCACCGTCGAAACCATCAGTCGCCTCCCCTTGATGGCTCGCTTCCTCAACGTGGCAATACTGTCCCACTGCTTCGGCACTTTGCTGAAATCCACCATGGTAGCTGAACACACAAGTGGAAAATCCCAAAACGAGTGGCCCAAATGACCTACGGTAGGAAATAATGTTTCACTTCGCATGCAACACCTCACTGCACAGTATTGGTACATGCACTCGCAGCACAAGCCCTGCTGAACTGAAAGTAGACAGCAATGGAGGGAAGCGCACGTGCCGAGGTAGAACCACGGCGACGATGCTGATCTGCATGAGCCGCCTGTGACTATGAAATTCCATGGCTTGCAATCAGACTGAGAAAGCCTTTCAAGCCCTGGCCCTACCATTCACAGACCCTGCTTGTATTGTTCAGCTTCAGAGAAACCTCTTAAGATTATCGGTCTCTTTAAGGCTAGTGTAGGCAACCCTGTGTCCAGCCTCCACGGGTGAAGAAAAAGCCGACCGAGTCCAGAATGAGCGACATGTGTCCAGGCGTTTCGGATTTTATTGGGCAAAGGTGTTTGTAAAGGATGAGGAGCTTGGAAACCTTCAGATTCCTGGAAATAGAGGCTTATCAGAATGTTATTCAAACCACTAGCAAGATCCTTTGATCAGCAATAAGCTTCTGGGGATCTTGGTATGTGCCTATGAAAGTCGGTGGCCTGCAAGGCCCGAGCCTCAGATTTTACGGGCGCCGTTCCTGCACATCTCAGAATAAATAGTCCTCGAAGAATAACTCGGTTTTACAGAAATAACGAATAATAAGAGGTCGCCCACGGTCCCAGGTATATATATATATATATATGTATATCGACATAGATCCATACAAACATGCATGCATACATATATACCTGTATGATCATGCGTACACAAACACACGCAGACATGAATACAAATTGTACCGACATACCTACCTACCTACCTACCTGCCTGCCTGCCTGCCTACCTACCTACCTACCTACATACGTCATCCGTCCATGCATGCCGTGCATGCATGAATGCCTGTGCAAGTGCATGCGTGCAGCGATGCATGTGCAACATGCATGCATGCAGCCATGCATGCGCACATCCATATGAACACATACATACTTTCATGCATGTAAACATACACACCTAGGTAAATACATGCGTACCTGACACATGCACACATACATATGTAAAACATATATACATTACATTACAGTACGTTACATAACAGTACATTAATACAGAAAGACAGACCGACAGACAGACGTACATACGCATTCAAACACAAACACGTCCAATTCTGTCTGACTGCACACATAGAGGTACAAACATGTGGGTGCGCATATATGTATACACATAAAACACATGTGTATATATATATATGTACAGATGTATGACCTGTCTGTGAGTTCGCGCTTGTGCTTGTGCGTGTGTGCGCACATGCGGATGTCCTTGGATCTGTGTGTTTCTGAAGGAACGACATTTCGATTCATGCGACTCCACATCAGCTCCAATATACTCTCCCTCACGATCGAGCCTCAAAACCAGAAAATACACTCGATCGTGCAGTTCAAGACTGACGGTGCGTTTAGCAAAGTTGCTGCGTGGTATGTAACCGTATCGCACTGAAACCCGACTCAACTTCGTATAGCAACCCCCGGCTCCTCAACTACAGCGACAGCGACAGACTCCAGGCATCGCTGTCCCTTGGGGAAAGCTCTGTCTGCTGCGGCTTGAAGGCGGAGGGCTGCTGCCAGGCGCGCCAGACCTGGGCGGAGAGGGAGGCTAAAGAGCCTTTTAGACTTTAAGAAGTCAGAGCTTGAGGGATTTGTAGGGTTTCTTAGTGTATGGGGACTTGGGATTTCAGGGCTGAAAGGGCTTGGCAGGTTTCTAAGAGGAAGCAGGGCATGAGTGCTTAGGAATGCAAGGATCAGGGTTTGTAGGGCTCAAGGCCTAGAGGGGCTAGAGGTTTTACAGGGCAAGGGAAACTGGGTTTACGGTAGAAGGGATTGAGGGTTCAGGGATGTTCAGGAGTTCAGGGCCTAGATAGCGTGAAATGATTTGCAATCTTGGGGATTTATGGATTTGTGTCTCAGGGTTAAATCCGCGCAATCGTATCCTTGCCCACGCATCCAAAGGGTTTTGGGACCCATAGCCTTACGTTTCAGCGACTAGTCCTTGCCACTTGTGGCGCTGAAGGAAAAAGGAGGAAGGCTCACTAGGACAACCATAAGGGGTTCATGGGGTTCCCCTTTCCCACTCCAACCTCGAGCACCAGGAAATAGTCTTGTTGGACACGCCGTAACTCAAGTAACTCACACGAATGATGCCGGCGACTTGGAGACCTTTCAATGTGTATCACTCAAACAGTGTGCTCTTGGCTTTGGCTGTCGTAGCTGGCTCGTCTTCAGTCTGGACGAAACAACCGTTGCAATCACTGTCGTGACTGTCGCAGAACAAACAGCTGCAACAGCAGTAGGGGCAGTAGTGTTAGCAGCAGCGGTACGAGTAGCGATAGCGGTGACGGTAGCCGTAGCGGTAGCGGTAGCGGTAGTCGTCATCCTCATACTCGTCGTAGCAGAAGTCGTCGTCGTCGTCGTAGTGGTAGCTGTGGCAGGAAGCAGTACCAATAGCAGCTGCAGGAGTAGCGGTAGTAGTAATAGTAAGAGCAGCAGCAGTTGTAGCAGCAGTCGTCGTCGTCGTTGTCGTAGCAATTCCTTTTATCGTTGCTGCTGGGGCTTCTTCCTTTGCCTTCGCACTCTGGTTTTATTCATGACGTCGTTTCTTGTTCTTGCTCTGGTAAACCCTCTTGCTTTTGAGACAGCTTCCTTGCATGTCTCCCTCAGTGCAACCCAATCACTCAAGCATGTTGCTAGCCGCTTGGTGCCCAACTACCCGCCGGGGCACAACACACGTCACAATCATCATGATGCTCAGGAAGCTGGCGTAGGCAAGTAAATCGTCCTTCGGCTCCATGAGGCTCACGACAAGAACTCCACCACCCCTCGGGTTAAAGCTCACAAAGGGTCGGGACTCCCAATTGCCATCATCCCCTGCGCACGGTCCTCATTGAGGATGCTGAGCCACATCCTCTGAAAAAGCCATACTATGCAAAAGAACCTGGGATGGCACACAGGGATCCGGGGGATCGTGAATTTGGAGGGTTTAGTCCACCTAAAGGATCGCCATATATCAACAAGCAGCGTCTCATTCCGGTTCGAGCACGCCATGATGGTCAACCAGACTCGTAACCGCCTAACCTTTCTGTTGAAGCCCCCTGATGACAGCAATTTCTCAGGGGTAACAGGTTCTGTCATGCGTCCAAGTTGTTGTAGATAGGGCTTGCTGGAGCTGGGTATAGCCGCTCAGTGGTTGCCTCCAGCTTGATACTCCGGCGTCTAGTCATGTAACGATTCGAAGGAGGCGGGTCTTTGCAGGCCCATGAATCTCGAACCCCCAATCCCAAATCGTCAACCCTGCAGCCTTAAATCCATCAACTTTGGCGCTCTGGGCTTCAATCTTCGGTTCTGAGGACGCGCATCTCGGGCCGAAGCTTGCCTCTCGACTAAACGGTTCAAGACCCGTCATGTAAAATAGGGGCCTTAATAATTAGAATAGGGTTTTGGGGCCCATTATACTATAATCACAATAAGGAACCCCCCAAAATAGTATAGGAAAATTATTAAGGCCCCTATACTAGCCTGAAGTCTGAATTCCAAGACCGGTACCCTGAATTTACCCGCGCTGTGCTTGTACTCCAGGATGGTGTGGGTGTCTGTCCCTTCGATATAGCTTTCCCAGGACAGGCCAGTCGACCAAAGGAAGCTTCTCGGAGAATTGTGGCCTGTATAGCCGCATGGATCCAAAGCATATTCAATCCGCGAAGCACGAACAATGCCAGCATTCCGATCACGTTTCTGAGCACCTCGGTGCAAACTCAGGCCCTCTCTCACACCTGCAAGCCTTGCATTCGGGAATGTCGGTCTGCTAGATATCCATCCGGGTCAAGGGTACCACGAGTTGTGACGCTGCAAACCCGGGGCGCCGCAACAACGGCTTCACGTGAAAGTGGTGGTGTGACTAGTGTGATCTGAAACCGGATTTTTGGTGGACATTGGACACGAGTGCCTTCCGCAAGCAGAACACCAAGCACAGGAAGCCTACGTGTATCACTTCGTGCGGCCAACAGGAAATTGGAGCTGCTTGCTTGGTTTCCTATTTGTTCCTCAAGGTCTTCTGAAGCCATGAAAAACAATCTCTTGACGGAGGGACCACGAACTCAGAGATAGAATTCCACAAGGAGCTTCTTGACTTCCTAGCACGGCACCCACAAACGAGCTCTGGAGGTGTGAGATACGAGCGGGAGTGGTGAGGGCAGTCATCCAACACCCTACTGTGAAGACCATAAGACATGTGACCAGGGGTGAACATGCTACGAACAACAATGTGACCTTTGAGTCACCTAAAAGACACTACCAGCCTTCATCGTGAGTGAGGGCGTGTAGTCAAGCCAACAAAATGGCCCATCAAGCCCAGGCTTTCCAAGACAATGATTTCCATCGTTGTTGTTTGTTATTAGCAATCATAATCCTCATGCTTAACATCATCCACATCTTCATTGTCGTCTCCCCGGCTGTGCCCATCATCACCAGAACGGCGGGCGCTATCACCATGTCACTAGCATCGTCGGTGCTAACATGGCCATCTCCATCAACGCACGTCCGGGGCATGTTTCCTCTGCATCATCATAATCGACCTCACCGCTGTAAAATAAGAATATAAAACTTTGCACAACTGCAGACCCCAACAACGAGCCAGCTTTCGAGAACAACAGAAGCGCGAATATGGGCCCGGCTGCACTGCCGACGAATAACACTCGCGGCAGCAATGAGAGCTTCGACCCAGAGGCAACATCCACGACAATGAGTTGGGCTACTACAGACCTTTTTTCGGCTCTGAAACCCTGCCCCTAAACCGAAACCTTCCACCATCGCTATCAGATCGGCGCACGTCCGCGCAGCGGGAGGCAGGCCGTGCCCTCAAGCGCCACGTTAGGCTGGCCCAAATCACGAAGGAGGCCGGGAAAGCCTCGCCGGTTTTGAGGCTGTGCAATTAAGGGATGGAGGCAGGCACTCCGATTCTTCTGAATACAATCATAAGTGTCGAGTTTAAGCTGTCCAACAGCGATGCCATTGCGACCACTCTGATTGTTCTTGCTGCCCTAGGCCCTAGATATTGATGATATTGCATGTTCTCAATCGTTTGCAGTGATACTTCTCCGACACCTCGAGTCCTGCTCTCGAGGCTCGTGCGAACACAAACACATGGCAGTGCATGGATTGCAGTGATTTTGTGCTGGAGCAGGGGTTGTTGCCTCCCTCTGGATGTCGGACCCACACGAGGGCATACTAAGGAGAGCAAAACATGCCAAAGGCAGCAAGAGATAGGATTGTACAAGATGTCACAAGCACAGCAAAACAAACGTTCAAAACGTTGCGTTGCGAGTCTAAAAAGCGTTCTCCACGCCCTGGCGACACTGCAAACCTCTGCTCAAGGAATCGTTGAAGTCGAAAGCCCTTACGACTCCCAGCAAGACCGAGTACACAACGCAGTCGCAATTTTTAGGGTTGTCGTAGGGCCGGGCAGTTTACGGGCATGTGGAGTCCAGCATACGTATAGCACAGTCTTTACACGTATGCGAACCAAGGTCAGGAAAACTAAACATCATGTCGGAAGGGCCCAAGCCCGAGATACATACCACCCGGCTCAACTGTAAAGATGTGGAGAGTCAAGATAATAACTGGGCTGGCTGCTGCCAGCCACCACATCACACCGTTGAGCGCCCACACGATCGCCATTTGCCTGGGCTCGGGGTGCTTCGCCCATGGACTTCTGGCCGGAGATAACCTGTCTGGCAATTAAAGCCGAAGCCTCTGCAACTGCGGGGTGATGCTGATAATGTACGACACAGACTGCAGTGACTACGGAGGAGTGCAAACAGATTGGGCCAGGACCGCAACAATGAGAACAGCTGCGACAGGTACGCAAAAACAACACCCCAAAAGTGCCATACACGGCCCTCTGACTGCTCCTCTGCCTGATCTTTGTGCGCCACATATGACTGAGAGCTGACTAGCTGAACGTGCAACCCATGCGACCTAGCATGGAGAGCAGAATGAAGCTGCAGCCCGGCGGCGGGTCTCCACTCCGCAGCTGCGATGCAACAGCGTCCATCTCAGAGGTTGTGCTAGGATTAGACTTCACACCTCAAACATCAGATCCACTGAGATTCTAGACCGGAGCCAGTAAGCCCTGCCGCCTAGGCAAACCACAGGATTCAGAAAGGCAAGGCTTCGCAGCATGATTGTCTTTGGCTACCTGACTCGGTATGCGGACTTGGCATTTAAGCGACATATACAAGATACGATATCTAGCTAGTACATATCGTGTCAAGAGCCGTTCACACTCGCACGAAGCCACCAGCAACGCCTGAGCCTCTGCTAACCGCCTGTCCCCAGAACAAAACTAGTATTATTAGCTAGTACTAGTACGAGTAATGCTATTACCATTTTGTTATTACTACTACGATTTCAACTAGTATTACTCTTGCAGCAGGCTATAGACAAAGGCGGGGAAGATGCCTCTTTGAAGCGGCCCAAGAGCTCATAATCCACCAAGGAGTATGATAAACAATCAGCAATACCAGCAGCACCGGAGAAACAGCAGCAGTAGCAGCAGCAGAAGTAGGAGGAGGAGTCGGACCAGGAGTGGGAGGAGCAGTAGCAGTAGTAGCAGTAGCAGTAGTAGTAGTCGTCGTCGTCGTAGTAGTAGTAGTAGAAATAGTAGGAATAGTAGTAGTAGTAGTAGTAGTAGTAGTCGTAGCAGTAGCAGCAGCGGCAGCAGCAGTAGTAAAAGTCTAAGTGGTAGCTGTAGTCGCAGTACTAGTCGTCGTCGTAGTCGGAGTGTGAACTGGTCCCACTAGCCCCCGCAACCGGTCACCACCACTAAGCTACCAATGACGCTGCCATTGAGCTACTGCTGTCACTAACAGTCAACACTCCGGCAAGAAGACAACACCAGCTCATCGAAATGTTTGTCGGCACGACGCCTGGGCAGCCACTAATTATGCCCACAGTGGTAGGCATCACGTATGTGCTGGGATTCACCGAACGCATAAATTGCAGATGTGCGAAACTCGGTTCCGGCTACGGGTATCCACTATGAAGACGGATGGCCCACTGAGCTGCCACAACAACAAGAAAGAAGGGCCGGTAACAGCGAACCATGATCTACAATAGCTCGCGAAATGGTCGCCTGGCCCCAGACCATCGGCACTGAGGCACCAATCAGCCTTGGAGCAATGAGGGCCCAATGTGCAGCTCCTCTGCACCAGCTACCTTTAATCACCCAGATTCATGGACATCAAGTACCACCTGCTTCTTCAATGTGGACATCCAGGTCTGCACCGCAAGATATTTCAATGTATCTCAGCGAGCCACGTGGCGTTTCAGAATTGCCTTGGGGCCATTTATCAATCGTCACTGCGGAGAATGCCAAAACGACAACGAGACCTTCAGTTTTAAGCCCTCAGCTGAGGGTCGCATGCCTTTCCACTTACATGCATGCCTCGTAGAGCCCCCAACGGCGGTTCAGCCGTTCAGCCCAACTGCGTGGTGGCAAACTTGGCCTTTTGCGCGTCTTTTCAAAGGGTTTGAGCCACCCGGAGAATACAGAGACTCAGCCCTAAAACCTCTTCGAATAAGTGTAAACCTTTAAAGGACCGGCCTGAATGTTGACTAGAACCCGCGTTCAAGATCAGGGTCTTTTGCCTTTGGTCTGGGTTTCGGGATAAACAAACAGATCCTACCTTTTCTGAATAAAAGTTCGAGGGCTGCTGCAAGCTTGCGATTTAGGATAGCACCAGGGCAGGGTTCAAGAGCCTGCTTGTCGCTGCCAAGCCTCACGTCAAACTTGGAGATCAGAGTCCTAAGCCCTGCTGCAACAGTCTGCAGCCCTTCGCTAAGACCTTAAATCACTAGATCCTGAAGTCCCACCGCCCTTAAATCAAAACTGCCTGCATCCCTCATATAGACGATACCCAGGAGCCACAAGTATGGGAACGGATGATTGCCAAGCTGGTGCCACAGGGCGGAGAGGACTGTCTTCTGGACCTCACATGACGCAAAGGAGATGTCTCCTTCAACACCACAAAGATTCACAAGAGGACGGAAGTTTAGAAGATATGATGAGCATCATCTTAAACCCTAAAGCCTATAAGCTCCCTAAAGCCCAAAACCTGCATGATCTCCCGTCAAAAAGTCAGAAGCCGGAGACTGTTGCGAAGTCGAAGAATCGACAACACCATCGAGCACGGCAAGTAATCCCTCCTTTCCTAGAGTTTGCGAGATTACCGTAAGGATTACAACAATTGTTGCTGCCGTCGTTGCAGCCCTCAAGCCTCAAACGTGAAAACCATGAGAATCCTGCAGGGGCATTGGGTTGAGATTTGGGTCCAGGCTTTGGGCTCGCCCTCGATAGCCCTGCAATCAAAACATGGAGCTCTATCAACCCTATTGCGGGAGCTTAGAGTCTAGGTTACTTTGGAGTTTGGGCTCCACGGGGCACCCAAATAGTGGTGTGAACGGGCCAGTCGCATGCAGCCGAGGAGGCCGTCTGCTCGAAGTTTGCGATGCTACCAAACCATCTGGTGATGCACTCCACGACGATCTCTCCTTATGCTATGAGTCGCGTACGTGTGTGCACGCGAACACACACAAGTATACGTACAGACATACAAACAGACAGGCAGACAGACAAAGACACCGACGTATAAATATAAATATAAGTATATGTATATATATATATATATACATAGGTTTTTTATACATTTATTTTTGTGTGTGTACACATGCATTTATACATAGATATAGACATTTATTTATGCAGATCATTCTATTCTTTGCATGCACACACACATGTGTGTGTGTGTGTCTCTATCTGTCTGTATAGGCAAGACTGTATGTTTTTATGTATATGTGTGTGTGTGTGTGTCTGTATATACGTGTGCATGTGCATGTGTGCACGTATGTATGTACGTATGCATATGTCGATTCGATACTATAGGCCCAGGAACTTGAAGACTTCATGCTTGCGATGCTTCCGGGGCGGGGGCACTGAAGGATGTGCATGCACAGGTATACGCAATTGTCAGGCTGAAAAGGCAGAGTTTATGGTGGCTTGCCTTCCGCTCCCCCTGAAGGCCTGAAGCCATAATACAATATATCCTGCGGTATACGCACACCGTATCAAACGTTTACACACGAGAGCTTGTGTCATGACACTCCGCGTCTGCAACCTGCCGTCTCAGTTCCACTCGCGCAAATGCGAGGCTGTTTCACCAGTAAGGCTAACAAGCAGATCTGTCCAAGCATCACTCAAGCCCACGAGCCTCCTCCCAGAGTTCGCACTCAGACTACAACCGAATATGCTATGCAATCTGCAAGTTTGGGAGGCCAGCAAGCATCTAGCACAGACACCTGATAACTTCCTCCCAGCCGCGATCACAAGGGATCTTCTTACCTGCCCACACATGGTCCTGGAGACGGCGCTTTGGATGGCACAGGAGTCTTTCGCCGCAACGGGTTTAGGACCATAAGCTTTTGACGACGAAAGAGCTGCAACCGTGCTCTGGTTCAACTTGGCATGTGAGACCCCAGGAAAGGGCGGTTCTCGGTGCACGAGTATCCCAGTGGAGTTGCGCTGAATGCAAGCACGAAAACTCGTGAGAAGAGTCCTATAAGAAAGTTTGACGCTGTTCTGCTGAATAGAGGCTCTCCGAAAACAAAGTCGCAATACAAAAGCCAGAAGAAGCAATTGACACGACTGCAATGTTGACACGGTACAAAAATCGTGCCAGCGGCGGAAGTAGTTTCAGTCGCAGTCGTCGTCATTCTCTTCCTCGCCGTCGTCATCGTAGAGGTGGTAGTAGCAGGAGCAGCCAGTAGTCTGTCAGTAGTAGCAGCAGCAGAACAAGCACCGATAGTGCAATAGCGGCAGTTGTCGTCGTGGCTTCGTCGCCGCATGGTCTTCACATCGTCACGATTGTAGTGGCGCCGGTGGGCGGTGGTGGTGGTGGTGGCGGCGGCGGCGGCGGTGGCGGTGGCGGTGGCGGTGGCGGTGGCGGTGGCGGTGGTGGTGGTGGTGGTGGTGGTGGTGTGGTTGCAGTGGTGGTGTGGTTGCAGTGGTGGTTGTGGTGTTTTCCTTGGCAGGGGGTTGCGGGGCTCGAGGTCGTCGTGGTGTGACATGTTACGGTAATCACATACTAGTACTACAGCAGCTGCGACAACACAATGTTTTTTTGTTTTTAAAACGAGAAAACAAAGTCAACAAAGGGAAGTCAAGGTAGCGACCAGCAGGATAGAAGAGCCTTCGAAAGTAATCCGAATACCTGTGCCAACATATGTGTCTATCGGCCTGTGGAGTACACTCTCTCTGTCTCTCTCTCTCTCTCTCTCCCAGCACTCTGCCACAGTAACTCTGAAAAAGTTGGGGGTGATGATCGGGCACAAGCTCGGCGCCGATTTCTTTTAATATTTTTCTACGATTTCACGCATATTGGAAGGCACTCTGAAGTATGGGGCTCGCATACATTGCTCTTCAGCTGGGATTTTAGGGTTGGTTGCGTTTAGTGCTCAAGAAGACGTTCAAGGATGCAAGTGCTTCGCAAGTACCTGCCCCAAGCCCAACAG